AGGCTTACTGGACCATTCCATGGTATTTCAACACCTGCAGACCGTTGATGCAAACAGTATTTCAGTATTGTCCGAACAACTGCTGTTCGTGGTGATGAAAATCTACCAGGGCGATGTTACTCACTTTTGCGTTTAAAACACCTGTCAATTTGACAGGGCTAAATCCATTTTCCATGTCCTTCGTTTGCATCACCTTCTTTCCAAATGTTCTTCATTAGATGTTCTTGAATCTTGTGGATTGCTATATCGTTTCACCTGTCATTTCATCACCTTTTTTTGCGTCTAATGAGAATATTTGCAAGTGTGGCTCCTTGCTACCCATATACTTAAACTCTATGTTGCATTGCACTTTGGGCTACTGTAATACTATTTACATTGTGTTCTGGACCTCAGTTTTTATCATGCCTTCGTGCTCTCATCAGAAGCTCTGCTCATGTTCAGTACGAGGGCTATTTCACTGGTAGATCTAAATATACTGATAATTCGTTGTTTTTTCACTAAAATTTTATATACTTTTCATAATGACATTTATGGTTGAATGAGATCTGATATTCTTTTTTCCATATTCATATTTTTTAATGGTCGTCATGGTTCTTGATAAATTTTCATATATTCAATGGATATCTGCTGAAGAGTTCAGTCGCATTTCTTTTATGGCCTCGAGTCAAATTTATGCACTGATAGATAATGTTGACCTGGACGAATAACAAAGCGTCGCCATTAAAACGATACTTTTCGGAGTGAATTACCGAAAACATTTTTGGGAATCAGGAATAATCTGGCGGTGCCCCAAAAATCATGAGTAGTTCTTCAACGCTGTCTGTCATTATGTGACATTGCAAAAAACACTACCAATGAGCAGTACCTCGACAGAGAACTGACAAGTTGCCATAAGGTCATATGGTCAGATAACGCCATTATTTTTATCGGTAGGAACCAGCGATATTTTACCTGTTATATGATCAACTTTTCAGTGTCACTGACTACTATGCTTCATGTTGTCTTACTAAAGCAGTGTCCCGAAAAGATCGTAATGTTCGTGTTGTTTTCCAGCCTTAAAGTTAATGAATTTAGTGATGGTTGTACATAGCTGTTGTCACAGATGCAGCGTCGATTATAGTTCATAATTCTGTATTTTTCGAGCTAACTATGGGCTGTATTGACGTCTTGTAATATATATTGTGTTACGTTTGAGATTATTATGAAACCTTCGTTTTAGGATAAAATGTCATGATAAGTGGTTTATTTGCACGGTGTTCGTTTCAGAAATTTAAAGATTCGTTTGAAAGATTGCAAAATGAGAATGAAGTTCTTCAGCGTGAAAAAGAGCACCTCACCTCTAATGTAGAAACCGCAAAAAGAGAATTTGATTTACGAGAGCAGAGGTATACAGAGGAAGTGGAGAGTTTGCGCAGCTCTTTGTCTACTCTCGAAACTGAAAAGGGGAAGCTTCAAAAGGTTTGCTCGTTTAATTTGTCTAATTAATAATGGAAATATGTTGCAGGAGGTGGTCAGTGGAAAAACGCAGATAACCTCTCTCAGTAAGGAGCTCAAAGATTTGAAGGCTCAATGTGAAAAACTTTTAGAGGGTGAGGTGAGCAGTTTTCATTTTTTATGCTGTGCCTGCAACTTCTTTTATAGAACGAACTGAACATGAAGTTAGCTGAACGGGATCACGTGTATAACGTGATCTTGAAGGAAAAATCTTCGCTTCTGCAGAAGATTGAAGCTCTGGAAAGCAACATGAACACTGCGAATGCGGAAAAGAAATCTGTAGTTCTTGCTTTATGATGCACAACATGTCTGGCAGGTTGAATTTAGAATGAAATCAAACTAAGTGAATTGAAGAAAGCGAAGTGCGAACTCGAAACTAGCGTGGATTCACTCGTGCGCGAGAATTTTCAGGTTTCTTGCTTTCTTCGTATTCTCTTTCTATTGGGTTCTCTTCTGCATGCTCTCCTTCTTTGTAGTTTGGACCCGTTGCCGTTAAAATACAAACCACCTACTAATCTGTTGCCTGTCTGACCCTTTCCTTAGATGGGAGGACTTGTGTTTTTGCTTTCGCGGAAATTTGGTTGCAGTCCCCAAAAATAGCCCTAACCCAGCCGGTCGTCTTGAATCGCCTGTTGGCAATCCTTGCTAAACAATGGCAGTAACAGTTGCCTGTTTTTAATAATCAGCGATTTGTTTAGAGTCCTTAAATTGTGAAATATTGATTCATTCATGGTGATAAACTTGACTCTTCCACTTGAAATGTGATTTGTGAGCTTTCAAGTGGGTACTTGAAACGTCAAACATCTTCAGACTTTCATTGTACTGTTGTTAAATGACTCTAATCGGAACCTGTATTTTGCCTTTTTTTGTGCGAATGTAATCTTTCAAGAGAAAAAAATTTGCTGCATTTCAGTCAGTTTTCTTGTTTAAACCAATCACTAATTTAGCTCAAAGAAGACCGGTCAAGCGTCGAAGGTGTCGTTAATGATTTGCGCGAGAAGCTTAAAGCTGCCACTGCGGAGTTTTCGACAGCCATGGTTGCAGACGGGTGCGCATCGTTTTGTGCTAAATGACATTCTTAGGAAAGCCTGCAAAAGGAGAACATGAATCTAAAGAACAGTCTTTCCAGTAGTGAAGAGAACTGGAATCAGCGTGTTGACACGCTCACTGAACAGTTAATCGAATTAAGGGTCGAATGCTCAAAGTTACGTGAAGAAAATGTCGAACTGAGCAAAACAGCTTCGCGCTTGAATCGTCAGTGTGAAGGTATGTTTCGCTTACGATTCTTCTCTATTGCCTCCTATTGTTTGTAATGTATTGTATTTAGGTATTAGTATACTAAGAGCAGTCTCTCTGAAACTAGATGGTTCAAAACAAACCCTTGCCAATTAGTGTTGAATAACCGCATAAACCAGTACTACTTAAGCGGCTCTCACGGACATTTAGGAACAAGGGTGGTACAGTAAGCCGTGAGATCTGGTATTGAAACAGTTTACCAGTTGGACTAGACACCTCAGTGTATGAACGTATAATTTTTATTTTTATGCTGAGATATATTAGCAGCACAAGCTACTTAATTGTTAGCAAGGGATTGTTTTAATCTAAAAAATAATCTGATATACTCATAACGCTACAGGTGCTCAAATGCCATGATACCCTTCTTCCTAAAATTATTTCAGGTGACTAAAACCAAAGGAGTGGTTTAATATGCTTTGAAATCTTATCTGGACGTACTTACTGGTGTTAATTTAATGAATAATTTATGTAAAATGTTTCGTATTGTAGAAGTGTTATCTGGATGATACGTCGCAGGCTTGTGATGCTCTTTTTTCTGATCTTGACATTCGCTGTCGAACTCTAAGGTCACATAAGGATGACAACCGCAATCCCTAACTTGCACCTTCCATAACAGAGGAAAAAATACTCAGAAAGAAGGACTGTTACTGGCATTGCAGATAATTCTGTTATTGTCAAATTCCCATGACGGTTGGATGATGTGAGGCGAAAGTCTCATGTTCTTTGTGATTTGCAAACTTTGCCTGGTTGTCACAGTCCAAATCCTTCATATTACAGTCGATATTGAGGTGAAGATGTTCATCAGAATTCCAAGTTTTCAGAGTGATTACGCGGATGTTTTTGGTTTGGTATGTAATTTTTTTAAAATGTACGGTTGCACCTTATGCCGATTTTTTGTCAACTATCAGGTGGATCAAGGTCTAGGTGAATTGCTGTCGCTAATCGTACTCATTAGATAGCATGGCCGTATGTCTTGCAGCTTCAGTATGATCACACCAAAGCACGTAGTTTAGCAATTATTCGCACATTAGTGTACTGTTACACTCCCCGAATGTCATGTGTGCCCACTGACTTTGAATTCTCTATGATGATGCTAGGCGACCTTGGTCTACGCTGTTTCGAACATTCGATTTAAAGCTATTGACAGAAAGATTTTACCGATGTAGGAGATGAATAAAATTTATGTATTTCATGCTGCTTGTAAGTTCCGTTAGATAGGCGATGCGTGGTACAGTGGATTGTAGCGCTGCTGTACACGTTAGGTGCCGGGTTCTGATCTCATATTGGACAAACTTATAACATGACTATTACCTCCCTTGAATTCTGTGAAATCACCACACTCTCCTTCTGATCCATCTGATCGTAAGTTTTGCATGTGCAGAGTGTTTCTCGTTTACCGTTGTCCACTATGTTCATAGCTTTTCTACACTATTTTGACGTTGTTGCATCTGAAAAGAATCAGTTCCTCTCCTAAACCAAACCTGCCTGTACTTTGCTCCTCCATGTTGCATGCTGGCCTTTTCCTCGTCGACGTCTCTCGTGTTTTGGCTTCCACGCGAGAAAATTATTGGCTGGGCTAAATGATTTATGTGCAGCTAGTTTTTCTAGGACGGTAAATCTCTTTTTCATAATCTTCATATCCTCTAAGATCATGTATACTCGGAACAGAACTATCATTCCTTAAGTTGTTCTGCCATTTAGTCCTCATTATGCATCGAAACCAGTGCTGCTGTACGCTGTTCAACCGTCCTTCTCGCTCCTTCATTAAAACAGCTGCCTTTGCACCATACAACGACGTAGACCTGTCCGAGGCAAGATACTGGCAAACTTTTTGGAAACGGTTACTGAACAGGTTATCAAATGAGCTGAAGGCAATGTTGAGGTCCTTATATTTATTTTAGATTGAATGGTGCCATTGCGTAGATGATGGAACCGAAATACCTCACCGGATCAACGTCCTGTACTATTCGTATTTTTCCAATTGCAGATTAGTTGCATCGGTTGAATTCCACATAACGCTTGACTCGGGCCTTGAGCAGGTGGTTTGCTTTTGCAGCCGTGTTGTATACAGAAGCCGTAAGATGGCGAGGTTCTCTTTCCCTCCCATTCACCTAGACAGTATCATCTGCGTGCTTCAGATCCGTAAAATATGTGGCTGAATATGTTGAATTGCCTTTTTGCTTTGGCATGAATGATTTGTCTTTACAATCGTCAGCAATGTTTCGGAGGAATAAATCGAGACAGTGTTTGAGTTGTGAATAAAGTACTGTCTGACTGATTCTAAATCGCTGTTATGAAAGAGTTCCATATTTTAAATTATTCACCAGTTCTTGTGATGCATTCTTTTGTTTTGCTTCTTTATGTTACAAGCAAAATCAGAATTCGCAAACTTATAGCTCTTCGGGCCGATATAGCCGAGAAAAAAGACGAAATTAAAGTTTTACTGGAGAAGTGTACCCGCTTAGAGCATGATTTCGACGAAAAAGAATCCGAGTGCAGCAACCTTCAGCTTCAGCTTGACAACGCGACGGCTGCCATGCACGAACTTGGAAGGGAAAACGTTTCGTTGCAGGCGAGGCTGTTTTCATAAATATTCAATACAGTTTCGTATTTTTTGTTCATTGTTAAAAGGTAAAGTCGTGGATGAGGCATGCCGTTTAAGCAGCTGCGGTTCACTGTTCGTACAGCACTACTTCTCAACTTTCTTCTGCAGTGTCTATTTAAAGTTTGAGCAGCTTTTTTGTTCATTTCTTCTCAGTGAGATCTAGATTATTATCACTTATTGGCCAGGCCTTTCTCACTTTCTGTATACAAAGCTGCATTGCAAGAATTTGAATAGAAAAGATTTGAATAGAAAAGTTTATTCCATGTTATCTACTTCGCACGAACCAGAAAATATCTTACACTAAAATGTGCCATTAAATATGTCTTTATATTTGTTTTCATCATCGTCCATAATAAAATAACTCAGGTTTTTATATTTTCCCACCTAAATTAACCATATCGTCGATTTATTTTGATCACCGTTCGTTTCTGCCTCGATGGTCGTCATCTTCTTTGCCACAAACAGGTGTGCTTCCATGAAATAATTTCCAGCTTGGTCTTCCAATACCTCTGAGGCGAGTAGCGGTTCCCATGAAGAGAAGTTGTTACCTTCACTGTTTTATTTTCCTTGCACCATGAGCCAGTTTTTCAGATCAGTTCTGCTGTCAATGCATGCGTGTGGAATCCGACTTCCTAGCAGCTATGCAGTTATTATCATGCATAACACTTTTAGGCAGTAGCTTATGTGACAGTCATTGATGCATTGTAAGTATAAAATAACGTATATCTGCAACCTTTGCTTTTATAATAGAGAAAAAGGGAAACGTGTGACGATTATCCCTTCTTAATGTTTGCTGTGCGCCTTCAGCAGGTTCTTACCTGATTTCTTATCGGTGCAGTCTAACAGGCAGAAAAAGTTTTCATATAGCTTCGTATTTTGTTGTGTTCTGCAAATGTGATGAGACTCCAGTCTGTTATGAAATAATCTGCTAAATAAATAAATTAAATGAAACAGTGATTGATAAGTACCATTAATTTTTGTCTATTTTGCCGACTCAAGGTATACTCGTTTCCAGAAATGACAGAACCTTGATTTTCAAATTGTAATGAGTGCCTATCATAGACAATTTGGTGTCGTTTCGTTTGAGTACAGATGAATGACAGAAAATCAGCCATTCTATACACCCGTCTTACTCTTACCATGATTTGCTACGGAAAAGAATTCCGTTTAGTCAGTCAAGTCTGTGCTTCATTTTTGAATCGCGTTTGGACGACGAGTTTTCTAGGAAAGGCAAACAAGTGTAGCGTGTTAGTCCACATGTAGGTCATGTCATTTAGTTCGGTTTTCACACTGTTCAGTTATTCAGTTCTTGAATTTAATTATATGCCCCTGCTGACCAACTAATGTAACTTCCCGATTATATTCGTTTTTATTTTTCTCTGAAACATTAGCAAGGGTAGGCAGACATCGATCATTGACGATATTATGGCATATTGATTAGGGTGACAATATCACTACAGTTCTGAACCCAACAGATGCAGAACAGGCCACTTGCTACGCTCTGAGTTCAGAGGTATAGCGCCTTCTGTTGAAATGGTTTCTTAGAATTACAGGTCCTGGGCAGAGATTTCTCCTGCACATATGGAGACAATGCTCAGATTGTTGTGCCTTGATTGCAATGCTCTACAAGTCCGGTTATCGCTGTCATCAGAATATCAGTCACGCTCAAGGTAAGCTTCAGTTTGCTGCTGAAGTATGTTTTGATCCCTGTGAAGTACATTTTAATGTATTATCTGCTACTGTCCTGTTGGTCCAAATTAACTTTACCCCTTGACGTTCAAGAGTTTAAAATCGTCATTGCAGTTTTTGCGATAAAGTTTCATTTACTTTCGATGTCAATGAAACTTGATTTCAATCATTGCATTGTTTTCAGATGGATATAGACGAGGCGTTTAGTAGAACGTGGGAAGCTGATGCGCTGGTTACAGAATGCTCGCAGTGTCAGAAACCATTTTCGCTTAAAGTACGAAAGGTAATGCGGTTCAGCTGAATTCTGTCCTATTATTTTTGTTATTATATTGATCAGATATCACGAAAGTTGATTAAATTCCCGTGATTATCGTCACCGTATGTATTATTTTTTGTGCTGATCAGTGGTCCTTAGGATCGCACTTTAATTGCGATTTATATTATGAACAGCCATTATTGGTACTATGAAAAATTCATATGTATTCTACTATTAATGAAAGTAAGTTAGGGAAAGTTTGCAAACGGTGGGATGTCGGCCTTCCTTATATTTT